GAAAGAGAAAGAAGAGAAAGAAAGGAAAGAATTCCTCTCGTACAGTTTCTGTGTGACCATGGGAAGTAATGTGCTGAGTCGACCTACCATAGACCCAAACAATTGGTAATTATTTGATTACTGCATTATTATTGCCCGAGAACTTCTGACTCACGCCAACGCTCTTCATCAAGCCGGCAGCTCTTAAAGGAAAGCACTGCACACAACAAAGGGCCCTGGGGGACAAGAACACGCTGTCACATTTCCCAAACCGGAGTGCCAGGGGAAGCCAGGCGGCCCCTTCGCAGGAGCGTCTGCCTGCGCTGGCTGGCGGGTGACATCGCTTCTTCTCCGGCCAGGGAAGGAGATGCTGTGACAGGCTTTCATTCTCTCCGGCCCCTTCGGGCAGCTGGGGCTCCTCAGAGGCTAAGGCTGAGCTGGATTTGCCATTTCAGCTGGTCAGCGCTGTCAAGAGCGCCCCTGTTTCCTCCCCACAGATGGGTTGCTCATTCCAGCCTCTGTTCTCGGCCCTCCGGGGTGTTGACGTCAGGACTGGGCTGTGCCAAGTGCTTCCCAGCCTGGCTCGGATGTGGATGTGCAGGTCGGTGAGATCATTTACCTGATCCAATTCAGGCCCTTGCCAATCTGTTACTTTTAAAGCTTCATGAAAAATAAAAGTAATTCGTATATAGTTTCAGCCTTTATTATTGAAAGCACAAAGAGGGTTTTTTCCCCACATGTCATGTCTGTTTGGACTGAGGGTCATCTTTTTCTCCTCTTTATGTCACAGGCTTAAACCAAATACAGACAGATATGAAAAGAAGGATGAGATTAACACAGTCCATCACTAACTTCTTCTTTCACTCTCTGGTTACATGATGTAACTAGAAAACAGATTGCAAAAAAGAAGGCAGGGAACTGAATTTTTTTTCACAATCTATTTCACAATCTATTAAGCGATGAAGCACTGAACATCAGAAATGAGGAAAGGTTCGTTTAGAGCTGTCCCTCAGCTGCTAATTAAAAGAGCTGGAATTTGAAGTCATGAGTGTCTGGCCAAATTCTCTGATCAGTTCTTCTGATATGAAGAAGTATTGCAGAAATTTCTTTCAAGATACTGGATTCATTCCATTACTTAGAATCCTGTACTCTCTTTTGGAGGGACAGGTGAGGGCATCTCAAAAGCTCACTGATGGCAGGACCAGAACTAGACCTCAAGACATCTTCCCAGTCCAGTCCATAGATAAAAACTCCTGAGCCCCCTTGCCGAACAAAGCCTTTTCTATACCTTACTTTATTCAACTCTGTGACACGGGTCATTTGTCATCTGTGCATTAATAAATGGTAAGGAAATCATGTTAGGCAGCTTTTATAGACGGATCTACTGCCCAGGTACCCAGCTAAGTGGTTAACTCTTCAGGCTCTATAAAGCTTTTTATTTAAATTTTTTTGTATGTATAGTCAGTTTACGATGTTGCATCAATTTCTGGTGTACAGCACAGTGCTTCAGTCATACATGAATATACATATACTCATTTTCATATTGTTTTTCACTATAAGTTACTGTAAGATATTGAATATAGTTCCCTGTGCTGTACAGTATGAACTTGCTGTTTATCTATTTTATATATACATTAGTTTGTATCTGCAAATCTCAAACTCCCAGTTTATCCCTTCCCATCCCTTTCCCCCACTGGTAACCATAACTTTGTTTTCTATGTCTGTGAGTCTGTTTCTGTTTTGTAAATAAGTTTCTCTCTCCTTTCTCTCTCTCTCTTTTTTTTTTTTTTGGATTCCACCAATAAGTAACGTCATATGGCATTTTTCTTTCTCTGTCTGACTTACTTCACTTAGAATGACAGTCTCCAGGTCCATCCATGTTTCTGCAAGTGGCATTTTTGTTTTTATTTTTATTTTCCAATTTACATCTGCAAAAAATAATAGTTACAGTGATTTCTTTATTTCACCAAAACTGGAGGATGGACTCTGATGGGACTTGAGCCCCATCTTGCCTGGCTCCCAAGTCCATGAATCTCTACCACATCAGACTCTGAGCCTTAGTCCGTGTTGTCCCCAACCTTCTCCATCACTTCAGCTGACCCCCAAATGGAGTTTTCTCCCCACTTCTTCTTCAAGTGCCTCTAAAAATGGGCATTGGCCCCTTCATCTTGCCACAGCCAATGGTGTTTATCTATTCTCATCTGACTTAGTTTTTCACAGATTTTCAGTAGCATTTAAGGACAGTCCACTTCCTCCTGATTAAGCATTGTTTTTCTGGACTCCAACTTACTCACCTAGTTTCCTCCCTCCTCAGTGTCTGGTCCCTTCTCCTGTAATAGACCACTGCTTCAGGCTCTGTTTTCTAGTTACACTCATGCTCTAGGTGAGCTCAATGAGTCTGTCTCTCTCTCACACACACACACTCATCTATATGTATAGACCTAAGCGTACATATACATATACAGAGCTCTTCCAGGTGTCTCTCTGGGCCCGACCTCACTCCTGAACCATAGACATAGACCCAGCTTTACACCCACACTCGTTCCCTGGTTGGAATCTCAAACTTAACAAAACCCCAGACTGAACTCATCATCCCCCATTCCCACTTCACAGCCACCTTTCCCCAAAACAAAACAATTTGCTCCCATCCATTCAGTTGTTTAAGCCTCAAATTCTAATCTCTTCTGATTCTTTTTTCTCCCTCCTACTTTCCTTCTAATCCATCTGGTTCTGTGTGGCCCTAGCTGTCATCACAATCGTTGCTGGGACACCCGTAGTCCAAGCCACCATCATGCTTCCCCAGGCTTCTGAAATGGGTCCCAACTCCTCTCTCTTCCTCTGCTTTTGTTTCCCTGTGGTCCACTCTCCACTGTGCCATCAGAAGAGTTATGTGTCATGATCTTGTCCTGCTTAAACCTACGTCAGTGTTTAATTTCTCTCTGTTGACTGACTACCCCGTACACAGAAATCTGAAAAAACACTCTGTGAAGTGAGTTCTGTTTCATGACGATGCCTATTGAGTATCTCAAGCAGCTGGGAGTTAAGACTCTCTGTGAGAAGAAGAGGAAAGCAAGGAGAGATAAGAAATCTGGCCGCTGTGAGTGGGTGTTGATGAAGGTTTAGGAGAGGCACCAGGTTTCAAGAAACCAGAACAGCCTCAGAGCCCTGAACGTGACTTCTGACCAAGTCAATGAACTTGCTCTTGCAGATTTGAACCGGGCATACAAGTCAATATGAACCACTGGGCGCTGAGAGAGCCCACGGCAGCACTTTTTGGTCTGTTGAAATCAATAAACCCTGAGAGAGGGAGCTTCATGTTTCTCCAGCAGCCCCACAGCTCATGTTGTCTGGGAGTTAATGGTCTGAGGAATGAGAACTGGAGCCAAGGGATTAATTGTTTGACTCTTCATTAACCCAAGAAAACACAGCAAGACACATTTGTCTTCCACACAAAATCATACAAAATTCTCTCTTTATTAAATATACATTATTTACAGTTTAAGTCTTTCTTCTGTACAACAGGAACCATAGAAAACAAAGAAATCTAAGGCTAACGTTTATTTATTTTTTTTCCCCATACAGTGTATTAAGACTTGTTACGTGGTCTACAAAACTGACTTGAAACGAGGCAAAATCACTTGGGATTCTGTTCTGGGAACGAAAATGAGCAGGTCCAAAGGAAAGGCTAGACTCAGGAGGATCTACAAAGAGAGGTGACCTGTTTTGTGCTTTTGCCATAATAAAGAGTCTGACATAGATTTTGGGGGAGGAAGCTATTTTGTACTTTAGTGTTTACTTGTTCAAAAGTATCTCCGTACTCTTTCTCATTCTTCAAAAAGGAGGACCTCAATATTCCAAAGTGGGACCGATTGCCCAACTGAAATGGACAGGGTAATATTCTATAATAGGGGTCAGCAAACTACAGTCCATGGTTCGAATCTCTGACCTGTTGCCTATTTTTGTAAATAAAATTTTATTGGAACACAGTCATGTCTGGACCACTTCCTGTGACAACAGCTGAGGGGAGTAGTTGCAACAGAAACTGTTCTGCAAAGACTTAAATGTTGAGTCTCTGATCCTTTACAGGAAGTTGGCTGACTCCTTCTCCAGCAAACCCTGGGGACAGACCCTTGGTTTGCCCTCAGCCCTCATTCCAGTGATGTCTCTGTACATTTTTGGCCTCTTCTGGTTGACTGAGGGAAGTGATAGCCAAAGACAGCACAGTCTATCAGGAGGTCTGTCAACTACCAGATTCAGGAGAAAATTCTTGGTGTTGGACCTCACTGGATACAAAGTCCCTCTCATGATAGAACTCTGCTGTTGTAAGCAAGATTTGGTATTTTTTTTGCATGAGTCTTTAAGGCCGGGCAAGTTTACATGGGTGGACACTGCCATTTAAAGAGAAGAGACTACGTTAATATTTCATGTGAAGACTTGAGGATGGGGTTGACTAATGTGGGAAAGTCCGACTAGGCAGAAGCTCATTAATACTATCCCTCAGGTCTCACTGAAAGTTCTACTTATGGGGAGGCCTTCCAAAGAGTCTGCAGAGTGATACAGCGATCCTGTTGCCTACCCAGCACATCTTCCATGTCCTCAAGGCTACTGCTGGCTTCTGAGGCAGGGGAATACATGGCTAATGACAGTGAAGACTGGAATTTAATCACTGAATCAATGAGCTTCACCTTTGGCCATGGCCTTAGACTACTCTCCTAAGTTAGTCCTGCTATCTTGCCAAAGTTCCCCTGGATGACTGGGGAGGATTGAGGACAACAGCGTTCCCAGAGAGCGTCGGATGATGGGTCCTTGGCAGCATTCACTGTCAGGGATGGGATGTACCATCTTCCTCCTCTTCATGGCAGATCTATGCGTGGTAGGACCAATGGAGGGGAGAGAGAGACCACTGGACTGATTTCAGGACCTCAGGGCTTCTACCCAGGGGGATCCTGATTCAGGAGAGTGGACCTAGGGAGCTATCTGACAGCCCCTTCTCCTTACAGTTGTATCTGGGTGTTCACTCACTCCGGGCAGGTTAGCTCACTGTGGTGATAGCTCTAAAGCATCCTGGGACAATCAGTCCTGATGGAATAAAAATCTTGGGGGAGAAAAAGATGTCATTGAAGTAGAGCCGGGAAGGGTCAAAAATATCATGCAAAGGTAACTAAGGAATATTTCATGCAAAGCCCATGGTATTGCCTCTTTCCCTAACGTGTAAGATGATGACCCAAGTGCACTAAAGAGACTCCTGAGTTAGGAGCCAGGAAAGGGGGAAGGGCAGCTGCAGGTGGATGATTCACGCGGAAGCCAAGCCCCTCCTCCTGTGGACAGGCCATCACTTGTTGCCAAGCGTCCCTCTTCCTCCTCAACCTCCTCCCAGCAGGTGCGCTCAAAACACTGACACCCACTTTTGCCTCAGTCCTTGCTCACGTCTGTTCGGCCACTTTGTAGACTATAAACATTACAAAAGACAGACGACTAGTTTACAAAGTATGATATTTCACTAAAAAATGTGCTTTTCTGTTCCCCCTCAGAGTACCCTAGTGCAAAAATAAGACCACCGTTACTCAAAAGCAGAAAAAGAGTTAAATAAGAAAATCTTATATGAAGGCTTCAAATAACTGTCAACTCAAGTGGAAATGTGTCTCTCCCTATCAAACAGACATGTATGGAGGATGTCATAGGGAAGGAAGCTTGAGTAACAACCCTATTTTTACAATGTGTTTGTGTGTTTGTGTGTGTGTGTGTGATTTTTTTTCCCCATTAGGAGGTTCAACTATTTGGAATTTGTGAAAGCAGAGATGAAAACTAGGGACCAGCAACATCTGCCAACTAGATGTCTTGACAAATAAGAGTGTGGCTGAGGACATGAGAGAGGAGGGTAGGAAAGACCTAAGAATGCTGTATGGAAGTAATTCAATTACACTATGTATTTGTGTCTGTGTTTTAAAGAAAACATCTTCAAACTGCACAAGAGACATGAAATAACACTCAGAAGCCTCCAAGTATTCTGAAAGTTTGGAGTTGCCTACATGTTGTTCCATTAACCACTTTTGCATCTGCAGGAACAAAGAAAGCTCTTGATGTATTTGGTCGACTTGTGACCTGCAGGACAACCGAGGATTAAGTCTGCCCAAGCCTTGAGGTTAAGGAAAAATGAGTAGTGGCTTATACGCTGTGTCTCCAGTTCCCTTTGGCGGGCTGATCTCACAATGTAGTTTTGATGGATCGTAGCTCTGGGGGAATTCAAAGGAAACCCAGGAGGTGGTGGACAAGCTGTCAAGACTTTTTGTAAGAAAGAACTCACAGCCTGATTCCTATCTCCCTGAACACCTTGGAGAAGATGCTCTGCCTGTCTCTCTCAGTATAGCTTCTCTAACTGAATGAGCTTCCTGCGGAGGAAGAGAAATGTGCAATTTTTCAGGACTGGAAGAATTCACCCAGAGCACAGAGTGGAGATCACTCTTAGAGGGACAATGCCTTTTAGTTGATTACTTACTCAAAGATACATTTCATTTCATTCTCAGAGATCTTCCAAAGTTAAGTCAAAAATGGTTGATCAGGATGAAGGTGGGTTTTAAGAGGAGCTGGGGGACAACAAAGATGCCTTAAGGAACATCTGGAAAAGCAATGCGTGCAATCGGTCACCAAGAGATGCCAAAAAAGAACCGAGAAAAGAGAAAGAGGGGTGCAGGAGTGGAGATTTTTGTTTCCTGCCTCAAAAAGAATGCCCAGGTCATCCTTAGGTCTGACCCATGGAAGAAGGACTTGCAGAATTCCCCAACTGGAATTAAAACAAGAATGGAGAGAATCCAGCCTCCCCAGAAGGACTGTGGACACAGAGACCGTTCATTCTTGCTGTCGCAAAGGAGCCAATCCATCTCTCTCCACAGAAATATACCTGTATAGATAGAGATTTGCTTTGAAGAAGAGAAACGAAGCAGCTCATTGAGGGTGGAAGTAATAAACAAGAAAAACAATATACATACTTTGCAGAAAGTATCGATTTCTCTCAGTCTCAAGCAAGGGCTTTACAAGAACGACAGTGTCGAACCTTTATTCTCCATTTTAATAGCATCTCATGCAAACCCCTAATGCAATGATACCTACCTCCCCTACTAGACTCTGAGCTTCCCAAGGGCAAGAATATATTTGTTCACCTAATGCTTAGCGCAACCCTAGGAATACTGGGTAGTCAAGAAAAGAAAGAACAAAGTAGAGATCAGATTGTGTCTTTTGTCCTGATCCTCCTCCCCTTACCCTGCGATGGGGGTTGGTCGGACAAAAGATGGAAGTCAGGTTAGTACCATCTCTGTTATTACTAAAGAGAATCAAAACTGTTTTTTTTTTAAATCAGCCCTAGGATCCTTAAAAGAAATATCACATTTGTGGTTGAGTGTAGAGAAAAGGCTAAGCTTTTCTTAAAAAATGTATCTAGAGGAGTGGCACATGTTTAATTCTCCAGACAAACTCTGGTGGAAATCATGGCAATCTAACCTACATGCACAATGAGTGATGCAGTGGCAAGTATTTATTTAGCGGAAGCAAATGTACTGTTGCTTACATACACAGACTCTGATGGGAATGACTTCAATGTAGTAGCCCCCTTAGAATGTGAAATTGCACAGATATTTTTGGTTTAATAGTAAAGTGACCACATTCCATCAAATAGTGTTGTAAACAGCAATTACCAAAGACTGAGAGTTACAGTGTCAGATCATGGGGTCCAGTTGCCCAGAGCGTGGGGTCGGGGAAACCCGATTACTGAAGCAGGAAAGGCCGATTAACGTGGGGATTAAGACGCTCTCAAGGACTGGGTGTTTCAGATGATGATTGTTCAAGAATCGGACCACTCACACAACTAAACAATTGCACAAAACTACGTGGGTTTTGGTACCATTGAGGAAAAGACAGGCAGAGTTAGCACTTATTTGTAATTGAAAATTGTGTTCTCTTTTTTTGCAGGGAGCAGCTTGCTTCCTCCTCAAATACGTCTGGTGAAAGCTAGCGATCTCTGGGGTTATGAAATATTCCAACCCTGTGAAAATAATTCTGGTTTAGCCCTGAGACTCTGCTTATAAGAGTGGCATGCATATTGCCCTGTCTTGGTATTCATCTTTAAGTCTATGAAACGTAGTAGGCGTGTCTATGTGGTCTACGTATGCAGGGAGGTATGCTGGGGGATTCTGCAATGCAGATGCAACAAAGATGGATCCTGACAAATTCTCCACCCTCCAGAACTACCTACAAGAAGGTATAAGTAGATGAGAAAAGCAAGTACTCTAAGTTGGCCTTTGCTAGTCCTCCAGTTCTCTCAGCACCACGTCAGCAAAATATAGTCCTCGCTCCTCAGAGACCTGAATAATGAGCGGTTCCAGCTTTATTACTCACACCTTTCTTTGCCTTTCCATTTCATTGTTGGGAGATGCTTCAGGCTAAACCCACTCCACTTCATGGTGACTTTTATGTCAGGGGACAAAGGACTACGTAGCCAAGCAAAAGGCTGATTTATACAGCCTTTTTATGGAAATAGAAAATTCAAAAGTGAAAATTGGAAACAGAGAACAGGGCAGGAGGAAAGAGTATTTAAAGCTCTCTCCTCTTATTAATGGATCATTCATCTTATTAAAGCTAGAAGGAAAAAAAGTGCCCTTGTTAGAATCACTTTAAAAGAAATTTACTAGCAGAAAGATACCATGGGAATGAGTAAGAATCCACAGAATTTTTTTAAGGAGAATGTGTATTTAGAACAACACCTTAAAGTTGAGAAATGGGGTGAGAAGCTAAATCCTTACTCCACGTGCTTGGACACTGGCAGAAAAGTCTGACATGGACCTGAAATGGGATGAAACTGTGGAGTTCCTCAATGGGAGCCTCTTCACGCAGGAAAGTGTGAAACATTTGAGACGAGGGACACACTGAGAACAAGAAGGGATGCCTGCCAACTGTCAAGGCTGGAGAATGGAGATGTGGTCATTGTCTTCCAAATCGAACCTGTGTTGTGAAGAGAATCAGCAAGTACTTTCCACATCTGTGGACCGTTATGCCAGCATTCCCAGCATATGGAGTATTTGTATTGTTTCCCCGTTCTCTTTTCCCTTAAGATGGCCCAAAGGCAAAGAATGAGGGATGTCACTATAGCAAAATCACCAGGATTCTGACTGCCACATTGTGGAGCAGCTCAAGATACCTTCTTGAAGGAATGACTGTGTTTCTTGTATGTTTCCTTGTCAAAAGGGGGAAATGGCCTGACATTGATCACTGCCTCGTCTGGGAGTGTATGCCTACAAAAAGAAGTGTGGTGGGCCTTTATACACACAGGATGCTGCAGATCTGAAACTGTGATGTGCTATAGAGCTTAAGGGCTCCTCTGAAATTAAGCAGTGGGGGTTCACTGGAGCTAACCAGACACCGCATATGTCAGTGCAGCCTAAGCCTCTAAGATAAATGGCTCGGTGGACAGACATGAAGTAGTATGTCTATTCTAAAACGTGAAACCTCCTGTATTTATGTTCCTCACCAGATCTTTAGTGAGTGGATGGGAGGAAAGAACTGTGTTTGGTGTTTCTTTTCTTTCATGCAGTTTTTTTGTTTGTTTTACTTTGCTTTTTGTTTTTGCTTTTCTAAAGCTGCATTAAGATGGTTTAAACTCTTTCATGGAACCAGGCACTATTTTAGACTTTTATTTGAATTGCTTTATGCTTCAGCATATATATATGTATATGTATCAACATACATACATATATATATATGTATCAGTATAATTCCAGGAATAACTAGCTAACATTTCTTACAAAATTGGAAGAGGCATGTTTGAAGTTATGGAACATCTACTTCCTAGCAGATCTCTTATTGTCTCCTGATTTCAAGCTACTGGTTTCCATGCTTCCCCTAGGTTTCTGCTATTGTGTGCGGCTCTAAGTGTCAGCCCCAGGAGAGAGCAGTAAGAATGCAACAAAGAAATAGCTCACTACTATCAGGTGTCCTATATTTGAAAATACTCAGGGGCCAGGAGTCAGAGTGAAAAATGATGATGTGTTAGGGCTTCCTACGGGAAGGAACATTAATATGAAAGCAAACCTCTCTTGTTCCTTTCAAAGTGCCGCCGACGCAAACCAGGCCTTGGCATCTTTCTGCACCCTGAGCTCCCTGGTAGGAGTGGACTCGCAATTGAGGGGGGTGGCAGTTAAATGCCGAAGTCACAGAGGTTCAAAGGAGCCTGTAAGCCTGAGCTGCAGGGTGCCTCTTAGAAACCGGAAATACAGAACCGATTATTCACGTGTGCACACGTGTGTCTCTTCCTGGTCTAGATGAGTAAAGTCAGTCTCTTGAGCCATCACGTTCACCACAAGAAGTGTGTCAAAGAGGAAGGCAGTGGCCATAGCTGCCTGGTGTTCTGGGCTGGTTCAAGGGGATAGGTGCTGGGGTGGACGCAGGTGTGCCCCCAAAATAAACAGAAAACAAATAAGAGGAGGAGAATGACCAAAAGCAAAAGAGAGGAGAAGGAGGAGGAGAAACAAACAAACGAAATGAGCAACTGAGGAAGAGAATCCACTGACCCTGCAGTTTTTCAGATGAAATATTCCCGCTTACACTCGCTCACTGTGTTTTGCAAATCAATGTCATTTCTAAAGGAGCTGTCCAAATTTTCAGGATATTCCTTCTCCTTCATCTGGTTGGTACGATGTGACTGCTTGTGCTGGTAAAGGAAGCGGGTCATGATGCCGATGACGCAGAAGATGATGAATATCACCACGGCTATGACTCCTGCGGGGAGACGCGGGCGAGAGAGGGGACAGCACCGTCACAGAGCAGCCCATCAGAGAGTAAAGTCAGTTTTGACGAGAAAGCCACATAGTGGAGAGAACCAAACAAAACCAAACATCACACCCCGCCGCAGGTCCGGAAACAAACACGGACCTCCAGTCTTCAATGACAAAATGCTTCCTCTTTCAGACTAGCTAGGGAGCGAGCAGGCCAGTTTAAATCAGAGAATGTTTTATTTCATCGACTAAGAACTCCATCAAGGAGACAGGAATCAGACCAGCAAAGGATTTCATAGGCAATTTCTTCAAGATCTGCTTTAAAGAATGCGTCGAAATCATTTTTAATCAGCGCATTTCTTTGCTATCTTGCAGATAAGCATCTTAGGACTACTCTAGCATCCTGGAAAGTAATAGAAAATGATATTTAAATGTCTCACATCTTATCGTATGTGCTTTGGCTATAAATTTGTTTATGGTTTGCTAAAAATCTTTTGTTAATAATGGAATGTTTACCAAACATTTAGGGCATTTCTCCCTGCTCTGCTCTCTCCTAGATGCAGGCTAGCTCAAAGATGGTACCCTCCATCCCCCAGAGTCAACTGAAACGGCACACTTCTGTCCTGTTGCGTCAGATCCCCCTCTACTTTGATTGCATGTGATTTCACTGGATTTTACTGGCAAGTTGTCCTCACTGACCCTGGGGTCTTGTCCCTATCTCTTTAGGAAGGATCTTGAGATGTGTGCAGCCAAGTCAGCAAAGGGACAGCGAAAATGTGGATACTGTCGAATTTTAAAAGGGAACAAGAGTCTATACGTGAAGAGAGGGTTTTCAGCATTAAAATATTTGAAAATTATTTATGACATTCAGATATAAAACTCATTCCTAATAAAGTGTATTATCTGCTGTTTTTTTTCTATGTAGAATAGATATTGAGATTATTTTACAAAGTTATTTTTGGAAACCCTGCATTGTACTTTATATAAGTACGAGCATTTGAGAGTTAAATATACTGAGTGCATATCTGACACCAATTTCTATCAGAGCTGAGCCCATGATTAGGATTGCTTACTTTCTAAAATATTCCTAAGCCAGGATGTGACATTTTCCCCAGCAATTTTAGAGCAAGGCGGAATAGAACCAGGTAAGTTAACAAACCTAGAAATAAACTGGGTGTGGTGAGTGACTCTCATGAAGGGACTAAACTGCTAAATGATGAGCTACAGAACTGGTTTCTACTCCTTCAGTGCAGGGAGTCTTCGGAGTTGAAGACTCTGAACCTGCAGGAATTTTTCCCTGGGCCTGGGAGAAACATCTTGCTCTTACACAGGCTCACAGGAGCCTGGACAAGGATGGGGAAAAGTCAGCAGTCACAAGAGTCTTTTCTCTATCTGTCAAATGAGAAATTACAGGAAGAGAAGCAGGCACCAAAGTGATTCCTACATTTCTTGTTGCCAAACAAAAATCAAGGTGGACTCTCTTCCCTGAAGTGGAAATTCAGGTCAGACAATTTAAGAATGTCCTTGAGGACAGGTTGTGTGTGTGTGTGTGTGTGTGTGTGTGTTTCCTTCACAATCTTATGGTAAGGATGCACCTTTGTGTTCCACTAACCATCCGTCCCTCCTCCCTCAAGACCCTACTCACTGGCTCTACTGTTACCTGTTTATCTGCCCCATCCCTGCCCCACCACCACTACCGAGCTGTGAGCCCTTTAAGGACAGTGTCCCCGTCTTTCATCTTCCTGTCCCTATGCTTAGCACTGGTTCTGACCCACAGTGTGAACTCATTACAGAGAAGTTAAATAAATGGTTACTGGTGATGGTTAAGAGGAGAACCCCATCTCGTGTGGGTCCGTCCATCTAGCCCGTGAGGCAGAGATGCGGGCATCTCCTCAGCATCTTACATTAAACAAGGCTTGGGAGTCAGGCTGTGTTGCAAGGCACAGACAGACAGAAAAATCAGGCTCCTGGAGGCAGCAGCCAGGCTGAGGCAGAATAAAAGGGGGTGAAGCCAAGAGGCAGTGAGAAAAGGGAAAAGAGAGGGAGGAGGGACGGGGGCGGAGTTCACAGCAGAGCTGAAACTCTGCCCAGTAACCATGCGCACGGCTGGATGTGAAAACACAGTCCTGTGGGCTTCACCCTGCTCTTTAGATCCACTTAGTGGAGAAAACCCAACAACCCTATGGCTTTGCCCATCTGTCTGCCCCAACGTGGCTTCTTCCCATATGTAGCTTTACTGGTTTGCTTTGTTTGTGCTTTAGGAAAAGTGACAACTGGATGTGAGGAACAGGCTGCACACTGCCTGTCTCCAAGTACATTATCCAGCTGTTGACTCTGTGTTCAGCTGCCTGGTGTTCAGGGGAGGGACGTGTCCGCGGGGCTGCTGGTACCTGGCGGGAGGGGAGGTGCCTTTGACCATCACAGCATGTGTGATGGACAGATTCATGTAAAGGCTCACAATCTTGTAGATCATGCAGGGTTCTGGGCGCTGGGGAGCTGTGGTTGAGGATAATTTCCTCCAAAGCACAGAATCGCTTACGTATGCCTTTCCTGCTCTCAGCAACAAAGAATGGTTTACCTCCAATGACCACCGAGTCGCTTCGAACTGCGTTGGTGAGTGGTTCTCGCTCGTCCGTCTTCCCAAAAAGATCTGAAACGATGAAAAGACACTCAAAGTCCTAGAAGGAGGTCTGTGATAAGGAGTGGAGATAACACACTTGTGGATTAGACCAGGTGCTCTCAGATCGGTGGGAGCTGGCATTTTGGAAGGAATCCAAACAAACACACAGATAAAAGCATTTGAGGGACCCTGCGTACACCGGGTGGTTTCAGGACCCCGTTAGCTTCTATGTGAGTTATGAGATAAGGGGTTAAAACAGACGATGGTGGTTCTCTGCTCATTTGTCCGCTCTGGCCTATAGCTTCCCTCTCAGCCTACCCTTTTAGTCCCTCTCTGCTGGGCTGGACAGTCCCTGTGCATGACTTTGGCTTCCTACCTGAAGGACACTTGCCTCTGCTTCAGAGGTTTCTGTAGCTGCAAGAGACTTCTAAGTCCATTAACAGGAAAGGACAAAAGTAGAATTAACACCAGCCAAGAAACCCTCACACATGCCACTGTATGTTCATTAACATACATCGTAGAAGGAAAAGAGCATCAAGTTTGAAAACATGCAGACCAGAGTTCGAATCTTTTCTTTGACACTTATGGGTTGGTAACGTTGAGCTACATACATTTTAAAGTAACAATCTGCAACTATATTAAAAGGGGGTAATGACACCTTTAGGCATGCTTATAGTGCACATGAAATTGCCAGGACCCGTAGCATCTATCACTAGTGTCATTGTACCATTTACTCCTCAGAGAATGACTACAACAAGCTTATTATTTTTCCCATTTCACAGATAAGATTGTTATATCAAAGCCATTAATAACCTGCCCAAAGCTCTAGAGTTCACTCATGGAAGATCTAGAATTCATCTTTACTATTTCGTTTTTAATTGAAGTACAGTCAATTACAATATGTCAGTTTCTGGTGTACAGCACAGTGTCCCAGTCATGCATATACATACATATATTCATTTTCATATTTGAAGATTTAGAATTCAAATCAAGGCCAGCCAAGGGTCCACTCAGGCTCTTGTCTATTACCTGATGCCACCAACAAAACAAGACCAGTGCTGAGCAGGGCAAAACCCCATGCCCTTTCTCTGCCCATAAATCATAACTTATTTGGCAAGCAACTGATTGCCACTACTGATTAAAGCAAATCCTAAAACACTCTGAGGCACCTAGGATGATGGTAACTAAGAAAAGATAGAAAGGTATTTCAGGGAATGGTAAAATAAGAGAAGATAAATGGATGACAGTGCTGTGACACTTTCTTATTATTAAGGAAGGTTGATTTTAATCACATGAATTATTAGTTCAACAACCAGCCTTCCTTCCTGACCTCTAAACTCTTCATCCTCAGACCAGTAGCCACTTAAACAGTAGTGAAAAAAAATATATATATAATATATATATACATATAGAATATATTTTATATAGAGAATATATATAAATTCTATATGTATTCTATATGGAGAATATATATATTTCTAGCTACTCAACACATTAAAAGTAGGATTATTTACATATACTTAATACCACTCTAAGAAACCAGTCATAATTCTGTAATCATACAAGGCAAAGAACTGAGTAATCTTAGCTTTAGCCTGGAAGCATCTTCAAGACATCAAAGTAGCATGAGTTGGAGGTGGTAGGGCTATACTCAGTGGTAGAGCACATGCCTGGCATGCATGAGGTCGTGGGTTCAATCCCCAGTACCTCCAATTAAAAAAAAACAGATTAACAAAAGAAAAAAATTTTCACCAGTGAGCAAAGTTCCCTTGAGTATTTTTTTGTGTACCTGATGAAGAATGCACCGTGGTCACTGCGTTCACATCTGAATCCATCATGGAGGCACAACTGGATTCTGTCAGGGTCCCTTGGACAGTTACAGGTGCGATGGTGACATGGCGCAGGGCTGCCTTTAGTGGTGCGATGTGGTCATACTGGACGGAAGCCAGACATCCAACAAAACCCAGAGTGTTTGCTTTAGCAACTTCCGAATCCAATCCAAGATTCTCTGCAATATGAAAGAGAATCAGTTTCTTTCCAAACTATGCTCCATATCTTCTTTAAATAATGTCTGAAATTACAAAAATTATCTTGTTATTCTTTGAATAAAAGAAATTATCTCTGCTGTCTCCTCATCTCCTCTTTCCAAACTCCATCCCCACTACAAGTATCAGTGTATCAACCACATACAGAAAATTGCTAGGGCTATCTCTACTTTAAGATAACGTTTCAAATTTCTAAATTTTCACTCATGTATTTTATGAACTGTAACAAATACTTCATAAATCTTTTACACTCTAGATATTTTAAAAAATTTATATCATTATCTCCATCACCATTTATTTACGGATACTGGTGATTAATTCAAGCAGACGATAATGCTCATTACAACATTTCACTCAAAACTACAGCAAGGAAAAAAAATGAAAAGAGGCAGACAGAGAGATCAGAATTCAAAGTGGTCCTTTCAAGTTTATCACGTTCGGTGTTTTAAGTGGCCTGCATACGCTGACCATCTATGCAAGATGGTCACATGCTTAGTTCTGTCCATGGTTCTGATGGGTGAGCATGGGTTTTATATGACAGCACTCAATCTCCCAAAGAATCTTTGAGTCTTCATAAAAGACAAAGAGGCTATCATTTATGATTCATGGCAAGATCAGATGTCTCATTGTCTTCAAATTGTGTGGTAAGATTACTCAGAAGCCCATTTCTTTATTTTAATAAGGATAATTTGAACAAATGGCTATGCTGCAATTACATAAAACTGCAATGCAAGATGAAGTTTTTTTTTCCTTAAGGCATAATAGTTTCAACAGAGCTAGATGGTCCAAATAGTTATTTTATTATGACAATCTGTTTATTCTCTGGAAATAGACAAGGACTTTCCTTTCTGTCAGGTGGAGTATAATTGAGTTCTACTCACATATGACCAAAGAATGCCTCCATCAATCGCAAAGCAAGCATTTTGTTGGCTGCATTTAGGAAGAGATGTAATGGACAGAGCAAAATGAGAAGTTAACCTCCCTTAACAGAGCTTTTTCTAGTTTTTGACCTCATTATACTTCCCCACTTCAACACCCATGTAAACCTAATTTATCACCTTTCTCTTCTTACAGTAAAAGAAAAGAAACCATGTGCATTAATTTTGTGTGGCTTTATTGTAACAAATTAGCACAAACTTAAACACTTAAACAGAATAAAACAACACAATTTATTGTCTCATGGCTCTGCAGAATTCTGACACGGGTCTCCTTGGGGTAAAATCGAGGTGCTGACAATCTGCATTTCTTACAGAGGGTCTGAGGAAATAATCCATTTCATTATCTCTTCTAAATCCTCTAAGCCACCCACATTTCTTGGCGTACAGCCCCTTCCTGTAACTTCAAAGCCAGCAATGCTGCATTTCCTTGCTTTTCTTCCAAAGCCACATCTACATCTAATGATGTTCTTCTGTCCCCTTCTTTCACTTATAAGAACCCCTGTGATTGCACTGGGCTCAGCCAGATAATCAGGCATCATCTCCCCATTTTAAGGCTAGCTGATTAGCAACACTAATATTATCAGCAGCCTTACCTCCTCTTTGCCAGTGAGCCCAGCATATTCACAGGTTCTGTAGAATTAGACACTGTCTTTGTGGGTCGATATTCTTCCTACCACTGCATTCTTCTAGATACTCCATAGCTGAGATCCTGTGCGAACTTTTCAGGTGATTGATAATAAAAATCAAACACAGATGTGAAGTGACACCCTTCTTCCAGTGTGAGAGAACATTGGTGTGGGGGAGGAAACTGCTTCTAAATATTCCCACAACTATCCTACGGTGGTGGTGTGTATCTGTTACTTACTTATGCAAGCATCACGAGTAAGCTTATTCCTTATTATAAGCTTAAAAAAGACAGGTTATGAGCATACGAGACTTTTCAAACGTTGTTATGCGACAGTCCTCCACACCACACAGCTTTAATTAAGACGAGGTGGTATTTGCCGGTTAGCACTAGAACTCAAAGTACCTGGGAGTAATAATTCAGAACACACATTAGCTACCCATTGGTAGTTATCACGGGGCAGAGTTAGAGATCAGAAGTCTTCACGGAAAGAGGCAGAAGACCAGAGAAAGGAAGCATTCAGTGGCAGGAAGTTTTTGCCTTGTAGGATTTCAAAGCAGTACAAAGTGACATGTCACTGTAGCTCTGCCTCAAGCGTCTAAGTCAAAAGTGCCAGATCTCATTTTTAGAACTCAGTTAAAAAGAAGCCCATATTGGTGCCAAGATCTTGGAAGGGTATTGCTATTGTGACTGCCATGAGCACAAGTTCCAGGTACAAGAACAGGCACACGGGGGAAGTCAGGGGAAACAGCAAAACATGCCCGTCTCTCTTTAAGCAAAGAAATGCTTTGGATAAAGTCCTATCTCTAGGAAAGTTTATTAAAAAATGTGACATTGAATACATATATGTTCATATATAACTGAAAAATTGTGCTCTACACTGGAATTTGACACAACATTGTAAAATGATTATAAATCAATAAAAAATATTAAAAAATTATTCTATATGTATAAAAAGCATGCAAACCTTGAAAGGTTTCTGAAAATAAATGAAGAGAACAAGTGTTTTTGATAGGAAAAAATATTCTCAGTGTGAGGCCTGACATAATGATTTCTCAGATTTTTACATATACGGAGAGACAAAAAAAAAGGTAAGATGGTTCCCAATTATCTTTGCTTCTTATAACTTTGCTAACTAATATATGGTAGGACACAATTACTTGCATTTGTTTAATATTTAACACTTACTGAGTACCTCCTCCGTAATAATGCAGTATTTTTTATTATTGAAATGTAGTTGGCATTCAATGTGATACTAGTTTCAGGTGAACTCTATAGTGATTTGATATGTACATACATTGTGAAATGATCTCCATGTTAAGTCTAGTAACCATCTGTCCCCATACAGAGTTATTACAATATCATTGGCCATCTGTTCTCCTACGAAGTTATTACGATATCATTGACCGTATCTCTTAAGCTATATATTATATCATGATGGCTTATTTATTTTATAACTGGAGTTTTATACCTCTTAATCCCATTCACCAATTTTGGCCACCCGCCACTCTCCTACCCCTCTGGAGACTACCAGTTTGTTCTCTCTCTGTTTTAATTGTTTTGTTTGTTTTGGTTTTTAGATTCCACATATAAGTGAGATTATATTATATTTATTTTTCTCTATCTGCCTTATTTCACTCTGTATAATATCCTCTAGATCCATCCATGGTATAGCAAATGACAAAACTCCATTTTTATGGCTGCATATTACTCCATTGTATGTATACCACAACTGCTTTGTCCATTAGTCAACCCATGGGCACTTAGGTTGTCTCCTTATCTTGGTTGTTGCAAATAATGCTCCAGTGACCTTGGCGTGCATAGACATTTTCAAATTAGTGTTTCTGTTTCCTCTGAGTAAATTCTCAGAGGTAGAATTGCTAGATCATGTAATAGTTCTATTTTTATTTTTTTTGAGGAATTTCCATAAAATTTTCTATCGTGGTTGTACTAATTTACATTCCCAACCAATGGTGTATGAGGGCCCCATTTTCTCTACATCCTCAGCAGTACTTGTTACATGTTGTCTTTTTGATAATAGCTCTTCTAACACGTGAAAGTTGGTATCTGATTGTGGTTTTGATTTGCAATTCTCTGATGATTAGTGTTGTTGACATCATTTTATGTTTCTGGTGGCCATCTCTGTATCTTGCTTGAAAAAAAGTCTATTAAGATTCTCTACTTATATATTTAATATTTTGAAATTGAGTTGTATTAGTTCCTTGTATATTTTGGATATCAACCCCATATTGGATCTATCATTTGCAGTATCTTCTCTCAATCACTAGGCGGCCTTGTCATTTTGTTGATAGTTTCCTTTGTTATGCAAAAGCTTTTTAGTTTGATGTAGTCCCATTTGTTTATTTCTGCTTTTGTTTCATTTGCCTGAAGAGACTGATCCAAAAAAAAAAAAATGGTGGTAAGATTGATGTCAAAGAGTATATTCTTTCGTTTTCTTCTAGGAGTTTTATGGTTTCAGGTCTTACATTGAAGTCTTTAATCTGCTTTTAGTTTATTTTTCTATATGGGGTAAGAAATTAATCCAGTTTGATTTTTTTGCATATAGCTCTCTGGTTTTCCCAGCACTATTTATTGAAGAGATTTCCTTTTCCCAGTGTGTATTCTTGAACTACATTGGTGTGGATTAACTGACATATAAATGTGGGTTCATTTCTGGGTTCCTTATTCTGCTGTATGAGTTTTCTGTTACATTTATTGATCTGTGTGTATGTGTGTGTGTGTGTGTGCCAGTATCATACTGTTTTGATTATTTTACCTCTAGTATAGTTTGAAATTTGGGAGTGTGATGCCACCAGATTTCTCTTCTTTCTCAAGATTGCTTTGACTATTCATGGCTTCTTGTTTCCATACAAATTTTAGAATTATTTTTTCTAAGTTTTGTGAAAAATGATTTTGGTATTTTGATGGGGATTGAGCTAAATCTGCAGATTGCTGTGGGTAGTATGGCTTTAACAACATGAATTCTTCCAATCCATAAACACAGTATATCTTTTCATTTGTTTGTATTAAATTTGTTTTATCGATGTCATAGTTTTCTGAGCACAGATCTTTTACCACCTTGGTTAGATTTACTCTTAGATATTTTATTCTTTTTGATGTAATTGTAAATGGGATTGCTCAATTCCTCTTCCCAACAGTTTGTTAGTGTATATAGACACACAACAGATTTCTGTGTATTAGTTTTGTATCCTAAACCATTACCAAATTCAATTATTAGTTCTAATGGATTTTATGGCATCTTTAGGATTTTCTATATATAGAATCATATAATCTGCAGGCAGTGACAGTTTTACTTCTCCCTTTCCAACTTGGATTATGTTTGTTTCTTTTTCTTGTCTGATTTCTGTGGCTAGGACTTCTAATACTATGTTGAATAAAA